GTGAGAGTCCTGGGGAAGAAGGTGCACTGCCTGGACTCTCAGTTACGAGGCTGGACTGGGAATTTCTGATTTTACAGGGCATGAAGAGCAGCTATGAATGGGGAAGGTCAGAGGATGGAGCAGCGGTGGTATGGACTCTGAGGCCATTAAAGTTAAGTTTGGGCATAGGTCCTTTGTGGTCTGATTCAAGTGACCTGACCTTTCCGTTCCATAACGTGGGGTGATACTATTGACCTTATGAGTTGCTGAACAGGTAAAGCAAACAAACGTACTGGGGTTCTTAGCACTATGCCTGGTTTCCTTTCTGTCACCAGCCAAGTGTTCCTTCCCTTTGCTCCCTGAAATTCTGAGAGCAGAGTTGGCCCAATGGTCTCCTGTAGATGTTCCCCTGGCTGCTGTGGCAGTGGAGGGCTCAGTGGGCCTCAGGGACCTTCTGGAGTCCACAGTGAGCCACCTGAATGTGGCCTTCTTGAATGACCTGGAGTTCTTTACATTACTATGCTAAGCAGTCCGAACAGTTGATCCTGGCTGTGGAAGAAGCTGCATTACTGCTCGGTGAGCAGATGTTTCACAGTGTGTGTCAGAGAAGGCATCAGGTTGCTAGGCCCAGAAACCCTACCCTAACCCCGCCTTCAGGGGCTTGTTCCTTTGTGAGAGGTGAAAGATCATACCTTGCACCCTCTGCTGTCAGCTAGTGCGTGGGCAGAGACGGAATTTGGGAGCAGAGAGATGCAAGTTCCAAACTCAGTCTTACTGCTTTGTGACTGCTTAGGCATCTCTCCAAGACTCAATTTCCCTATCTGTGAAAAGAGTATGATACCTTACTTAGAAGTTTGCTTTGAATACTGGGGCGGGGGATAGGTCAGTGGTAGAGCATGTGCTCAGCTTGTACAAGGTCCTGGGTTTTAACGCTCTGCACCAAAAAAGCCAAGCCAAACCAAACCAAACTAAACCAAACCAAAACATGTTGCTTTGAAGATTGCTTTGAGGTAGGCATACTGTAAAAGCATACAGTAAAGATAGGAAGATGCCCTTGGATGATGGTGGTGTTCACTGGCATCCTATAGCCAACCAGGTGCTTGATGGTCTTGGGAATCATAGCAACGTGTTAACCTGCTTCAGCAGCTGCTGGCTGTATCTACCCTGTAATCAGTTACATTTGACCTAGTGATAGCTGTTCTCAGGCTTTCACTACAAACCAGCCCCCACTTCACCTCCCAAGGAAAATCCGACAGCCTCTGAATGCTCTGAATGACTGTGTTAGAGGTTACCAGCTATCACCCGGCTGCAGGCTTCTGTGGGACATGACCAGTTGATCTCCTTAGGGTGACTTGTGAGCAGAGGCCCAGGCAGAGGAGCTGGCATCTCTGTGTTTGGGGCTGCTTCTCCCGCATTGGGTGTTCAACTGGGGAGCTGGCTCAGATCTCATCTCTAGCCTTTTGGTCTCCTGTGGGGCCCACTTGGTGCCAACCCTTTGCCCTCCATGCCCCCTTTGTCTGCTCATAGCAGACCCTTTCACACCTCAATTAGCCACTTAAGGAAAAGAAAGCACAAGTGCGGGCTGGGGAACCTGCCCAGACCATGATGAATAGTTTCCCCAGCCTGCAGTTGCCATAGCAGCCAGCTGGGAACACCGTTTCCAGGGCCTGAGGCGCTAAGATGCAGGGAGTGCTGCACTGCGGGGTGGCCCACCGTCCTCCCCCCACCCTGCCCTGCTGGCTCTCTTTGCAATAGCCACAGCCATTGCCATCGCAACCAGCATGTGTGCTGGCCAGGGGCAGTGTCCAGGGAAGGGAGATAGCATGTGCGTGCCTGTGTGTGTGTGTGTGTGTGTGTGTGTGTGTGTGAAAGAGAGAGAGAGAGAGAGAGAGAGAGAGAGAGAGAGAGAGAGAGAGAGAAGTTGGAGAGGAGCAGGAAAGAACAGCACTTGGCACTCTTAATCATACTAATACCCCCAAGGCTATAAGGACGCTTCCTGATTACGCCAAGAGCCTCATCAGTGATCTCTGATCATTCCAGACTTCTAAGAACATGCTTGTATATTGGAGTGTGTGTCGATTTTTCTGGAAAAATGGTTTGTAGTTTTCATCAGATTGTCAAAAATGCTGAAGATCCCCAGCAGATAAGAATCTTAGTTACCAAGGTTTTTACCTTTTGGGATCAGTGGAACAGGCAGGTTGAGAAAGGCTTTGGAAAAGGAAGGACTACAGTGGGCCTGAGGAGCATGCGGCTGGCGGCTTCTCCAGCCCTCGGAGTACCCAAGATCTGGCGACTGCTCTGGGAAGGGTGAATGGGGCTGCCTCCTAGCATAGCCCTTGTTAGCACTCTGTGCTCACCACCCCCTCTCCTCTTCAGCTCTGCTGTGGAACTCGGCTGTGCCAGGCCCCGGACTCACATTCTACAGCTGCTGTCCACGCTATCTGGTTCAATCTTCACTCAGCACAGCCTTTAAAACACAAGACACTGGAACAATGAAGCATTCTAAGTAACTCGCCCAAGTCAGAGTTCTGAGTCAGAGAAGATAAAATACAACATGTGTCAAGGAGGATGGCCTGGACCACAGTGCCTGAGAACCCCGGTGGACTCACGAGCTAGGTGACCTGGGTGATCACTCACGAGTTGAGGATCTGGACAGTTCTTGTCCCCTATCCCTACAGACCAGCTATGGCGTTAGATGAATTGAAGCTGTACCTGAAAAGTGTGCAGAGCAGTTCTATCCCTGAAAGCACTAGAGGGAAGTGGGCTTGGACTTGACCTGCACGTGGTGCTGCTGGCAGGGGATGTATGGAAGAGGGACAGTGACCGTGCAGTGTGTGCTGTCATTTCTCTTTACAGTAGCCCACCCTGTGCCATAGGGTATGCTTTAAAATACTTTTCTACCCTTTTTACTATTTTTACTTGGCCTAAACTTGCTCTGAAGAGCCTGTTTTATGCTGCCTTTAATACATGTGAAACGTTGCTGGTTTTGCTGCTTTTATTCCATTTTTTGTTTGGGATGAAAGGAACCTAGAGGTCACCTCTAGAGACCCCAGCACCTCAGAGCCTGGTAACCATAGGGTGAGTACTGTCTTGACCCCACAGAAGCACATAAGTGCTGAGCTCAGCTGGGCTGCTTACTCTGTGAGCATGGGCAATTCACTTGGCACAGCAGCCACAGTTTCCTTATCGCTAAAGGACAAGGATGATGACAGCACCATGCTCTCTCAGAAGACAACTGTGTGGTAATCACTATCGATTTCACAATGATCAAGTCAAGGTCTGGGAAATTCTTTGTAAACTGTGCCATGCTATAGAATTGTACTCAGGATCCGGCACTGAGACAACTCGAAGAGCTGTGTGCCCTTCCCCTGGCAAGCAGCTCAGGGCAGGGAGCCCAGAGTGATGCCCTGAGGCGGGCAGATGGCAGGGTGCCTGTCAGTACCCATGTGCCTGGGCCAGCAGCCAAAGTGGGCATGCTTAGGAATTCCTCAGAGGCAGCTGGGTCCGGGCCTGGTTGGCAGGGCCACAGGGAGGCAGGTGTGAAGATGAGGCTGAAGGGAAGAGGGCAAGAGGTGGGGTGGAGCTGTGGGCTGCCTTCCAAAGGGTGTTGCAGATCATGTGGAGTGTGTGGCAGCCTTCTCTAGGAGGCTGAGTAATTAGTGGGAATGAAAAGGAGCTGTGTTAGTCACTGCCGAGGAGAAAACACAACAGGTATTATCCAATCAGCTAATGGAGGGATTCATAGTCTCTCTTGGCTGCCGGGAGGGAGGGATTTCACGTCCCTTTTGATTTTGTCCCGGAAGACTCATGGTGCTGGAACAGATGGTGAGGGGGAAGAGGATGGGCCCTTCTTCTTGAGTCACTTAGCTGCCCGGGTACCTTTTAGGGGTTCTGGAAAGTACAGCACACAGCCAGCACCTCGGGTGAAGAGGCAGCTGGTTGAAAGAGAGGCGAGGGCCCCACGGGGGAGGTGGTGTATGGAGATGACTGGAGGCCCCGTCAGAAGCCATACTCGGAGGTGATGAATCCGTGAAGGAAGAAGAAGCAGCGGCTGGGAGTCATCACTGAGTCAAGCCTAGACTCCATCTCCCACCTGCCTCACCTGCCTCCGGAGGGGGAGCTTCCTGCAGAGGACAGGGTCTCAGAGGCTTTGGGAGAGGCACCTGCTATGCTGAGGAGCTTTGGAGGCTCTGCATCAAAGATCTTTGTCCCTTTAATGTTCCAGAGGTAACATGAGAAGGTTGCAGCTCCTCCCTGAGATGCAGGGGTTGGAGCTGGGGTGAAGGGGAGGAGCAGTGTGGGACCCCAACATGCCAGTCTAGCTTCCCTGCTTCCCACTGGGAGTGAAGTAGGATCTTGCTTATTCAAGGGACCTGAATTCGACCTCAAGAAGGTACTCACCAACCCTGTCCAGTGCCTCGCTCTCCCCAAGTCCATCATAGGTAGCTGCACCATGAACATCCTGAAGCCACCAGCTGAGCCTGACCACTCTGAGGACAGGCCTGCGGTGGAATGGTGCTCAACACCTGTGTCCCGGGAAAGACCACGCTGAACCTGTTCCTTTGAACAAGCGACATTCACTTTTCTTCAGTTCCTCTCCTTGTTGTTCCCAAGAGAAGCAAGAAAACTTGATTTGTAAGATGAACCAGGTTGGGACCACGTGTGTGGTCATCATGAGGGAGCAGTAAAGTGAGTAACACAGTGGCAGAATGCCAAAAAAGACAAGAAAAGGTAAATATTCAGTGAAAAGGACTGTTGTGCGTTTGTTGAGCTACCACCCACCTTGGAGGAGTTTCTAAAAGCAGACACACCTTGACAGGTCCAGGTAGTTTTCATGAAACCTCAATGGTGGTACTTTTTGTCTGACTGTTCCCCATGGCCATTCTCAGGGAGGTGGCCACCATGTCACAGGGCTGGGGCTGGCCGTGGTTGGGTTCCTCCAGGGCTCCATCTCAAGCTGGACGTCAGCAGGTGTGTGCCTAGAAGACATTCTAATGGTTTCAACTTTTCTTTATCTTAAGGGAGAAGGAAACTTACCTGTGCGAAGAAGGACAGTTGGACTCTGCACAGTTCCCAGGATGCGAGAGTGAGAGGGTGGACATGGCGAAGCTGGAGTGTTGCTTCCTGAACCTCAGGGACACAGAGCCAGTGTCACACTGTACCCTCAGGGCACAGCTCCAGGTGCTTCATCCTCCTGTGAGGATCCTTACGTGGGGAGCTGAGAGCCTGCCAGGGTCACCTTCAGATTGCCTTCCCGAACCCTGTCTCCTTCGCTGTCTCCTGCCCCATACATTTCATTGGCTGGTCAGTGTAGGGACACCTGCACAAGCTGGTCTGCTATTCACCAGGTTCAAAAAAATTTGCATGGAACTTTCCTTTCACCTCCACTGTTTGTTACAAAATGGGGGAAACCAGAGGTCCTTTGTCTCAGGAGCAACCCTGAGCAGGTTTGGGTTTCGGATCCATCAGAATTCTGTCCTGCAGATGATGCTCCTGAGCATTCTGTTAGTCACAAGTACTTTGACAGGCAGGATGATGACCATCGAATGGGTAGCCAAGTAACGGAGACCTTTGCTATAGAGATGATTAGAAATAAAGCCCCAACTGTCCCATCTACCTGGATGCAGACCTCTCTCACAGCAGGCCGATGGCTTCTTGAGATCTGAGGAGTGCAGCTCGTCTCCTGGAGCCTGGTTTCTACACACTCTTCATCCTTGGCCAGCTGCAGAGCAGTGGATATCTCTCCTGTGATGCTCCCCCTCACCTGACATTTGTGGGCTGCAGCCTCTTGCCATTTAATGCATAGATGGCAGCAATCAGCATATGGAATGGGCTGCTAATATAAGAACAGCGAAACGAAGAAAGGAGATGAGCATGTTATAGAGCTGAGCTGGCCTCTGGGCAGAGGATAGCGTCCCTGGGTAGGGCTGGTCAGCTGTCTCTGCTACTGAACAAAGGAGACGGAAAGAGTTTTAACAGGCTGTAGTATCACAAGGTCCCTCCTGCCACTTCTCATATACACACAGAACCAGAAAGGGAAGGGGCAGAAGGAATAAACTGGGCTTGGGATGCTGGTCTGCTTCTCTGTTTCCCCACGAATCTGAAGGTCACACACTGTGCTGAGTCCTGGCCCTGTCTTCCTTGCTGAAGGGCTTTCCATTGTATGTCATCCACTGGTGGTGTTCAGGCTTAGTCCTCCTGAATTATCACTCTAAAATTCTATGACAACTAGATCTTTGCTGAGTGTTGTCACTACAAGGCAGTTAAGGTGCAATGTCAGTTCCTGTGTGGGTGTGGGGGAGCGGGGGGGCTGGATTAGGGCACAGGACTCCACTTAGGCCAGAGGCTTGAGGGGCCAATAACCCCAGAATTGCAGCTTAGAATATACAAGTGGGATTCCAGAAAAGTGGCCTGAGGCTTCGTGAGATGAAATGGTTCATCCTGGACCTTGCTCACGGGTGGTAGAATGGGAACCGAACTCAGGCCTTGGAATGCTTCAGCCCTTCCTGTGTGGGTAGAGCGTCTACTTTGTGTGGATGACGTGGCTGTGTACCTCTGGTAACTGAACAACAGTCCTGTCCAACAATAGTCATCCAACACCCTTTGCTAGGTGGTTTGGATGAGTGTGCATATGAGGATACTGCTCATTCTGATGCTGGAGGGGAACCCACAGAGGGTGTCTCCAGGCCAAAGTATCCTGTTGCTTCCTGGGTCATATCAGCCATTGCAATGGTCAAAGCTCTAAACAAAGTCATGAAATCAAAGCAGTCATTTTCTCTCCACCTCCTTGTCCTCCTACATCTAGGGTGGTTCTTGATGACTTATCATTTCTGGTGACTTAGCATTTCCATATGCTTCGACTTGTCATCATCGTTACTCCCACAACTGGTCTGGAGGGTGCTCCCTCCTCCCTTGCATCCCTGCCTCCTTGGCACCTCCTCCACTCCACCTGTTGCTGCTTTCTGTGCACTGCACAGCTGGTCTTGTCCCCAGTCACAGGTGTGTCCTACTTTCAAGCTAGAGGAAAGCGTGAGAAGGCTCACAAGATGGAAGCTTACTGCTGTCCAAAAATGGGACCTGACTTCCACCAGCAGGCTGGACCCTTACCGGCACCACAAACAATTCCAACAAACTTCACTGCATGCATGCTCTGTCACATGTTGGAGGTGCCTTGTCACCTGAAACTGGGTCTCTATCTCTCATTCCATTGAATGAAGAAGCAGTAGTAAAGTAAGTGTCTTTGTTGCAACAGGATGGACCTGTGGTGGGTTGTAATGGGACTGCAGTGGGTGGTAATGCACAGAGTTTGCAGCACTAAATGGAGTGAAAGTCAAGTTGACCTAAGGATTAGGAAGCATTCAAGGAAGGTGGTGCTGGGATGGGGTGGTTGTTGGGGAGTTACTCTTTACTGTGTAGACTTGACGGGCTTTGGGATCCCCTTGAGGGACTGATGGAACACATTTCTGGGTGCATTTGAATGGGTCATAGAGTTTGATCTTATTTACTATGTCTGGTACTATGTCCTGGACTCCGTCCTCTCCAATGCTGATCCCCTTTGCTGCTTCCACCCAGGGTGGGGCTTGTCAATCACGTGTACCCAGAACTATGCTGAACCAATCAGTGGAATAACTTGGTACCGCACACCCATGATCCACTCATTCCCAAGTGTCCCACCTATGAGTGCACAGGTTTTTGAGGGGATGTAGAGCTGCAAACCATAACACTATACTTCAGTGATTAAGAAATGTGGACCCTTTATATTTTAAACCTTTTAAAGGAGAGGGTAGAGTGATACATGTAGGTTTTCACCAAACGATCGATTTTGGAACTGCTGATGATTATACCCTAGCTTCAGGATTTGTAAGTCTAAGAAAGAACTAGAGTCATGAACTATGCATACTCGGGCTCTTAAAATCCTAATCCTAGGCCCGCTTCCTCAAGACTCACATGCATGAGTCATGTTTTGTTCACAAAGTCACTTTCTTATTCTTAAAGGGAAAGATATTTACATGAGTAGAAGGCCTGCATCTTTCGCTATTTGGTCCTCATTCTGAGGGTGAGATGGCTGAGGCCTGGGGAGCAGCAGCCAGCAGCTTACAGTTAGCACAGTCACAGGTGACAGGCCCCAGGCAAGGGCACTGGACTCAGCACCATGGTTCATTGTGGTGAGTGAGCAATAGTGGATGAGCTCTACCCTGGGTCAGAAGCCCAGGAAGAAGGGGAGCCCCTCTCCCCTGGTGACACAGCAAGGAAGAGAAGAGACAGAGCCAGGAGCAGAGTCCCGGGCCCTGACCATCACTTAGGCCAGGCAGCTCGCACTCTCTGGCTTCTGGGAAGAAAGGTGCACTTTTCCTAGTCAAGTTCAAATGTGTTGGGAGGAATTGCAAACACCACACTGCTACTCTAACAAGCAGTGGTCAGGGCTGTCCAGGTGCCAGGGTGACTGATGCACCTGTGCTCTTATTGCTTTATCTGCCCTGGGAGAGGAGTGGACACAGCCAGGCCCATGAGTCAACAAGGTCGACTGGGTGTCCTGGGGGCTCATGTGTTTATGCAGGGTGGGGAGTGATGGGATTCAGGGTGTCTTCCTTCCTCTCACCAGAGGAACCCTCAGTGAAGCTGCCAGAAGCCTTGGAGAGGGCTTCCTTGCCGCTCAGCAGCCAGCCCAGGATTGTGACATGATGCTAGTTAGCAAGGCTCCTTCCCGCCAGCTGTCTGCTGCAACACCGTGGAGCTAACTAGCAGAGCTGCCGGAGTAACAGTCAGGGAGAGGGAAATTAGGAGGCATCAGCATGAGAGGAAAGACTTTTTTTTAAGCAAGGAAGGGAATGAGATAGCAATCAATAAAACACAGGCAAGATGCCTGTTCCAGGTGGCAAGAGACAGAGACATCTTGTGTGTGTCAAATAAGTCTAGGATGACAGCCATACACTCAGCAGAGAGGGTAGGGAGAAGAGCAGACTGCATCGACACAGAGGCGATGCTTTGCAAGACCTCCTAAGCATCCTTTTACCTGATCGTGTCTCTGCCCTCCAAGGCAAGGCAGGGACTGGCGCCACTTCTCACCAGAGAAGCAGCAGTGTGTGTTCACCGGTAAGGGCAATCTGCACGTGGTACCTGTGCTGTCTGATCACTGTGGTGCTCAAACCAGTGTGAGTGCACTGATAGATGCCCACAGCAGTGTTTTCTAGACAGGAGGCCATGCTGAGCAGGGAGCTGGCACAAGAATTTGCACACAGAATAAGGCCTTTCCCTGCTTCCAGCCCGAGAGACCACACTCTGCACTGCTACCATCATGCACCGCAGTGAGGGAAAAGATGAGTCTGCTCTTCCTGTCCTCTGCCTTGCATCTAAAAGGGATACCAAACAGCTGAGCATGGTGTGGGGTGTGCAGTCTCCCACATGCTTGTGCCTTGCCTGGGTGCCTGAATCAATTCAGGGACAGCCTTGAATTCCTGTGACATCATCTCTTCTCTATCCTGGACAGGAGAGTGTATAGTCTTATTTCCTTCACTTCCAAGTTGTCAAACAGCAGACATTTCATGACAGATGATCCTGTGTCTCCTGCCATATTGCCTTCCCATTGTCTCTCCAGAGCTCCATTCTCTTCAACAAGCCCCTGGGCAAAAGCATCTCCATTTAGCAGGCAGAAAGGTTTTTTGGTGAGCCTACGATCTACCTGGGCCATGGTCTGTTCTTGGTGGTACCCAAGTCTAAGATTCCACCACAAATAACCAAGAAAACTGACTTGCCAGTTACAAGTGGTAAGCTATGCACTGGAGATAAGCCCGGGGCTCACTGTTTGGAGTTGGATCCTTCTCTATCTGGATAAGACCACTCATTTGTCTGAGAAGGTCTTAAAGGTTTCCGCCCTAGCCAGGCATGGTGGTGCATGCTTGTAGTCCTACTAGAGGAAGCTGAGGCAGGAGGATTGCAAGTTCAAGTCTAGCTCAATTTAACAAGATGTTATGCTAAAAAAAAGTGAGAAGGAGGACTGGGGATATAATTCAGTGGTAAAGCATCTGTGGCCTTCACCTGCAGTACCACAAAAACAGACAAACAAACAAACAACCCCCCAAAAGCTCACCAAAACAAAGATTTCTGTCCAAACCCCTTATTTAACAGAAAAGGAAACTGAGGTCCAGAATGTCACATGACTTTCCTGATTAGCTTTCTGTGAGCTCTAACTCCCCTTTCCTTTGCCCTGGCCCTCTGTCAAAGGTACCCAGAGCCATCACCCTTTGAAGGACAAACCAGGTCTGGAGAAGGTGACCAGGTTGACTGTCAGTGCCTTGAGATGGGACATGGCTCCCTAACCTAGGTGGAGGCTTGTTGCCAGCCAGTTTTCCTTTCTTGCTGCTGTATTTTTTAAACTGCTTCAGTGAAGAGAGAGGAGGGGTTTTCACGCCTGTGTATTTTCCACAGAAGTCAGACAGGGAAGTATGACACTACCCCGAGGTCTTTCTTCCTCTCCTCTGGGCCTTCCTTACTGACAGTGAGGAACCAGAGCTCCCAAGCTCCTAAGCCGTGTGCTTAGCTCCCCAAAGTCAAATAGAGGTCAGTCCACTGGAGAACGGACTCTGCTTCATGAACAAAAATGTAATATCTTTAAAAGCTTTCTCTTTCATTCCACACCAAAGTTCAGTTTGATTTATTAGGCTAGATCCAGCACAGGCTTCTGGCCCCTAAGCACACCAGGAGCAAAAGGGAGAGGATGTGGACCCTCGCAGGGGGAACTGGGGGACAAAGGTAGAATGGGCAGGTGTCATGTCGAGTCGAGGGGTTCCCTGGCTGTTCCCCTTGGAATTCTCAGAATGCCCAGAGCATCTTAAAAAGCACTGGCAGAAATGCCAAGGAAGCCAAACTAAAAATACCCAGGGTGGCTGGGTCAGAAGTGGGGTGAGCGCTCCAGACAGGAGCCGGACCGCGTGGCCAGCTCAGGCTTCCTCATGGGAGACTGCGCGGGGATCAGCTGAGTGTGGTGGGGAGGAGGGGGCGCATCTGCATTTAGAGCTGTTACTTTTAAAAAATTAACCCAGTAAAATAGGGCAGCAAGAGCATCTCTCACGTGGCATAAACTACACATGCAGGAGTGTGCCCACAGCCTGGGAAGGTCGGCTCCTCCTCTGTGCTGTGCATTTTCACACATGTACGTGACAGACTTCAATCACATTTGTCCTCCCCTCCTGCTATCTTCCCCTGACCTCTTGAAAATCTGCATTTCTTTATGAGTATTTTCCGTACTTTCCAAGTGAAAATCATGTTGGGAAGATG